AATAGTCCCTAGTTCTACAAAAACATGATACAAGAAAACAAAAAAGTTTGGAATTCACCGAGTTTCCGAAACTATTACCCTTTAAAACAATTTGAATATTTGTTTTAAAAAATAAGGCATTTCAATTATATGAATACAAAAAATGAATCTTATGTGCACGACGATCACATCAAAAATTGCTCTTTCTGTTTAAATTGCGTTTGTTTATAATCTCTGCTGCTGTCTAGGGTACGTTAGCGTGTTTTTTGATTGGGGTTGGTGGATCGCGAGATGGTGAGCTAAAGCTGCGTCTATGCGGACGGTTCAACGGGAAAGTAAAGTTTAGGCTTCCGAGGTATATGATATGTCTGCTTATACGTTTCTATAAGAGCGTCCGCTGAGGTTTGGGACGGTCTAAAAAAATGTACTAAAAGTTTAAGAATACATAGAAACCGACGATCCCCGACACATGTTTTGCCTCTTCTCCGGGCAGAGCGCTGTGGAGAACGTCGAGGAGACGGGAGCTGCGAGTGTGGCTCTGCGGCAGGTGGTCGCATCATCAACGTCTCGACAACGCCGTGGCGGACGTCCCGGAAACGCGTTCGCGTGGTGCGAGGCACGTGACGGAGCCTTTGATCTGTCGCGCAACAAACTGACAGCCAGCTGCGCGCGCGCTCCTTCTCCGGCTGCGCTTTCGCTGCGCCTGCTGCGCCCTCGACCACCAGACTCGCTGCGGCGCGCTGCCCGCGGGCCGCCTTCGCCCCGCTGCAGCGCTGCGCCTGCTCGATCCTGCGCGCCAACTGCTGCAAGGCGCGAGCGGACGCCTGTCCCGGCTGGCGCGCGCCTCCGCCGCAGCTGCTGCTTCGCCGACAACAAACTGCAGCCGCTCTGCACCCGCCAGCCGCCTTTCCACGGGCTTGCGGCCCTGGGCAGCGCCTGTTCCTCACATATAACCCTGCTCGCTGCCACGGCTGGACGGGGCGTTCGGCGCGGCGCGCGCTGCCCCGCCCTGCAGCTGCTGCCGCGCCGACAGGAACAGCGGCGGCGGCCTTGCGGGCGGCGAGAGCTGCGCGCGCGCCGGCGCTGCAGATGCTGTCCTGATATATGGGGCAGACAACATCTCTGGCGGCGTGGAGAACGGCGCCTTCGCCGCGCAACGCGCGCCTGCAGGTACCCACCCGCCGCCCCCGCAATGCGCCCCGGGAGACGTGTTCCCTGGGCTCACCTGCCAAAGCTGATACGGTCATTAGTCCCGTTAGTGTAGGTGAAGGTAGCGTTGAGATCCGGCGCCGTACCTCAGCACTCTTTAACGGAGGAGAGAGTTTTCGTGGAGTGGGCCACCGGGAGTGTGGGCTGACACTCTCTCGACTGGGCGCCTGGCACGTGTGGTAAGGAGTGTAAGAGGTGAGGTTAGGACAAGGAAGGGGAAGGAAAAATTGCGCGCGGTTCGAAGCCCCCTTGGTAGGATACCGCTCCGGCATTCGCCTGGTGTTGATTCGAGAAACAACGGAAAACTATCGATCATAGCCGTCGGTCTCTAGAAGTCTTCTCCAGACTGCGGATTATTTCGACCTTGCTGATAAGCTAGGGTCAAAAATCCTGTCACCATCGGGCCTCGAACCTAGAACCTCCAAGTAAATAACACTATTGTGACATCAACAATTGATGCTCTGAGCAACCTAAGCCGGTATAGTAGCAAGGTTTTCGACTCTTGCAGGATAGCCGAGTCGAGTTCTGCCACGGAGGGGGGGGAGGAGAATTCTAGCGGACAGCTTATCTGATCGGTCGCTTTCCGTAGTTTCTCCGATCAATACCAGGCGAATGCCGGAGCAGTACCCAAACAAACGGGCCACGGACCGCGCGGATTTTTTTCCTTCCTCTTCCTTGTCCTATTCTCGCCGCTTAGGCAAACACATACTTGTCCATAGATGCACAGTACTATCACACGTGTCGGGAGCTTAGAGCTTGTCGCGGCTGAGGCGATGCCTCACTTGTCGGAGATATCTAGATGGGGAAAACTGCGAAAACAAACATGTACGTCAGCGCCGGATCTGACCATCGTACGGAAGAATACCGCCACTTCCCGCGATAAAAAAAACAAACATGCATCGCGTTTACGAGACTAATGGCCATAGTAGGTGACGCGCCCGAAGCACACAAAGTAGTCAATCATTCGAGATGCAGACGTCATCCTAAATTTAGCGGTCTCTGCTTTCAGGAGGTGCACCTTGAAGACAACCCGATCCAGGAATTCTCCTGCGCGGCTTTTGTTGACTCTTTGCATTCCCAGCTAGCTACAGGAAGTGCGAGAAACGAAACTCCTTCCAAGGATACCCTTCACGCAGTGCGAGTCTGGCTGAGCTACGACAGCCACTGTTTGTGCAAGGTGCCTGTCCACAAGCAGTCATTGTTGGAAGAGCCACGAGACTTTCAGCAACGGAGTTGTTACGCCCAGAATGAGCAAAACACGTCACGTTTCAACACAGAAGAGAGGTTGACACTTGACATTAACGCTACAACAAATGCAACTCTTCCGTCGCCACTTCCAAACACACCGGCACTTAACGAATCCAATGAAATGCACACGTTTTCTTCTGATACATGTGACAGTTGTGAAAGTGACGCCGTAGGACGAGAACTGAATATCAGTGGCACCCAGTGGCCTGATAAAGAACTGTCTTCACAACAGCCTGAGTTGTCATCAGAAGGTGGCGCTATCACTTCGCCGTGGTCTCTAGAGGAACCACAAGCCTACGAAAATGCAGTGGGGCCAACCGCGCCTGATTTAGAGGGAAAAGCAACGACCGTGATAGGTTCCATAACAAATGACTCAAGTTCTGCTATGCCACAGGAAGAACAAAATCACTTAAAGAATTCCAACAATGGGAAGCCGGCGGAATCTCTTCTGTCTGGTGCTTCTTCTTATTTCCTTGGTACCAGGCGAAAGTATGAATTGAATTTGTGTCAGATGTTACAGATATTCACTGTTGGGGCTATTGTTTTTTGTCTGTGGTGGTGGATGTCGCTATTGGATCTTGGATAAGATCACAAGATTTTACTCCAATTTATACTGCGATCCGCCTCTGGCAGGTATTAGCTGGTGACGGTTTCATCCAATCAAGAACTTGAACGTCACCATGGTGACGTCACTATGGTGACGTTCAAGATCGTGATTGGATGAAACTGACAAGAGCTGATACCTGCCAGGGACAGAGTTGCGAAAATCGCAGTATAAGTATAGAGACTTATAGATACTGACAGATGATCAACTGTGACGCGGTTATCCAATCAGAAGCATCAGTATTAAAATACGTAGGTTTTCTTGAGCCCTCACTTCACTACATGCGAGAGGAGTGGGGGATTTATTATTTTGTCAACAAGATTACTATATGAAATTTGTGACTCATTTTTCGATACAAAACTGTTTCTACTACACGGAAGGAACAATTCTGGTTATTAGATTTTGTCAACAAAGCATGCAGCTCTCATTTGTTATGAATTTAATGAATGTGAGTAAACGAGTGGGAGTATGTATTCTGGGGCTTAAGATAACGTGCGCGTATAAATGATCAAAAATTTAGTAACTAAGTTCCCGATTGGATAGTCGCCTCCTGATGATTATCTGTCAGAAGTTTCTATGTAAATCAAAGTATAGAGATGTACCAGTGAGTAAATATTGACTATGTTATTCGTTGCCTTCATAGGCGTACACAAGATTTTGGTAATGAAAATGTCCAGATTTTGTGAAAATTGTATGGTATCTAATTAAAATGAATTGAAACAGTTGCGTTGATTGAATCAACATTTAAATTTCGGTATTAACTTAAGTAAATTAATGCTAATTAATGCATTCATTGTTATTCACTTAACCGATGTCCTATGGCAGCCGCTAACAGGTGTCAATTAGCTACACGATTTTCAATGTGTTACCTCAAACCTTTGAGGTCGCATATATTATTCTTTGTAATGTCTAGGAAAACGTGAGGGCTATAAAGAGCAGTTTCGTTCTGTGGCCAACACAAGGCAAGGTTTCTTCTTTAAATAAATGCGCTGTCTTGTTCTCGTTGAAATTGGTGTTGGTATTTCTTGCCCTTTCCCCTTCCCTGTAAAGGTTTAGAAAACTGTTACAAGTTCTCCCTGTTGTTAACAACTCCCCAGTTGGTTTCCCTTTTGTCTGAACGGTGTGAACTGTGAGTTTCAACAACTTTCGGAAATAGTATCGTACTCTTCCAAACTATAACAAATTGCATCATTGTTAACACATCAACGGGATAATATGTAATATTTTATTCATTTTTTGTGAATAAATATTAAGGTTGGTGAATCCATCTTCGTACAGCGCGATTTTGTTTCATGTTAAAATTGTGTTGTATGTAGTTTTAGATCGGGTAGAATCTATAGCCCATAAGAGAGCGCATACAAGACCACAAATATTTTTTTGAAGAAACTTCATTTGTGGTAATCACAGTGTAAATAATTTCTTGTTATATACAAACATTTAATAACGTATTATATTATACAATAAACAACAACATGAATAATAAAATACAATGTTAACAGAAATATTTGTGATCTAGTGGGCCCCATAGATCCCTCTTAGATTCTCCGCTCTTGCAATTGAATAAGTCACCGCCCGAAGGAAGTTAAAGACTACCGCAGAAGAAGTAGAAGAAGAAGAAGAGGAGGAAAAAGAAGAAGAAAAAAATTTGCTAATGCGCACACATTATTTTTTGACAGGTGCAAATGAATGAACAAATATAACACACAAGATGGATTTTCTAGAACAGATATTCACAAACTGGAGAGGAAATCGAAAAATTTGACTAAAGAATGTGGGAGGGAGTTTGGTCTGACGGACGCCCTCAAAATAAATTTATTAACACTTTAGTGAATATTTTTAAATATTTCTCGATTGAATGCCATTTATATTTCCTACCACAATATTTTTCATTGTTTATAATATAAAATAGTTTATAATATTTTAAATTGTTACATTGTGTTGTATATTTTACGAGTTCTTTGAAGAGGATTGTTACATGAAAAACTGTTGGACATGAGTGACGAAAATTCATCTTTTACACAATATTTACTAACATTTTTATGGAAACTGTTCAATAATAAATATACCTGCGACAATTCTGTTGACTGAACTGCATTGCACACACAAAGTATATCAATAACAAACACTTCTTGGAATCTTCTTAATTTGGAATGTCTATTGTGTGAAGCCTAGGTCTTGTCTCTTCTTAGGACAGTGTACGGTCTCGTGGAATTAGTCTGCAACAAAAAACATTGGTGCCGATCAAACGATATCGTTCGTGCAATTTGCAAAGTTACATCAGCTTCTTTAGATATGATGAGAATACACGTTTCCCTCTAGTATCAAAGATGCAATGTTTGTAACCATGGGCGTGCCTAGCTAAAAAAAGAAGGCAGGCAACATTTTTGGGCATCTTTAGGCCCTCTTTTCCATTAAACTTTTCTATTTACATTAGACCTATTTTATTTGTAAAGAAACAAAACCCACCGCAAGGAAAGTGAAATTGTACATGTTTTCTTAGAGCTTTTATCCCGCCAACAGCCGGTTACCCTGTACGTCCCGATGCAAAGCACATTCGAACATACACTAGACACCAACACACTCGCGAGCTCCCCTGATCTGGAGCAGCAGAGCACTAGGTCCTCCCCGAGAGCACATACGTGGGAGACAAGGGACAAACCACCCTGCCCCAGCCGGGACTCGAACCCGCAACCCTCCGGACCGAAGCGCTGAGTCGGTACACGCTGTTATCCATCTCGGTCATCCAGATCGGGAATTGTTAACTTAATGATACAATTTATATTTACCAATGATTTTACGTTCAACCACGTGCAGGAATCTAAATGGTGTGGGGAGCTTCTTCTCCTAAACTCCTATCAATTCCCAAAAGCGTCAACTTAATAAAGGCGGAAATAAGAAGTGGTTCATATTTACAGAAATAAAATGTTGTTATTTTAAATTGTATCATTATAGTAGTTAACGAAACGTATGTATAAATAGGTGTATAAGTTCACGATGTGGTATGATTAAAGAAACGAGCGACGATAGGAGCGAGTTTCTTTATTTACTACGAGTGCAATTATACGCATTTACACACGTGTTACGTTCAATATTTTTTCGTTTCCGTTCAAAAACATTTTTATTTTGAATAATAAAAATATATATTTAGCATGCCATATTTAATTTGATGATGCCATTTTCATTCCGAAGAAGACCAATTTTAATAGGCCTTGCCTGTGTATTTACGATCACCATAGTGACTTAATGAATTTAGAAAGCATGGAGGATTACAATAATATTCCGGAAGAAATATTAGAAGAAGCTGATAACTCAATGAATGCATTGCTCCCTACAAAAAGTAAAGATGTCTATGAAAAAGAATATAATCTATACGAGTCGTGGAAAATACATAGAGTCACACATAGTAGTGAAGAAGTGTTATTAGTTTATTTTTCACAACGAGTAAATAAAACTGACTTTTATATTTTTCACATTTGTAATATTTTTACAACAAATGTTTTATATTTATTCATTTAAGTTACTAATGTTAATATTATGTGATTCTGTTAGTCAACTACTGTGAAACCAAGTTGTTTGTGTAATAGTTTAGTAGTAAGTAAGCTTAGATGTGTTCATAAATGTTTGTTTTTTATGTTGCACGGAACCTTTGAATTTCAACTTTTTGTTTAATTATTTGTGCTTCCGTAGAGACTTAATTAAACGATGTTCAGGCTTTTGCCGAGTTCTCATTAGTAGTTGCGTGGTTTTAATTTCACGCCATTAAAGTAGTGATAATAAACGATTTTTCATGTAATTAATGAGCACAATTTATGTAGAAAACGAAAAAAACTGTGTTAAATCAGCGTGTACCGAATCAGCGCTTCGGTCCGGAGAGTTGCGAGTTCAAGTCCCGCCTGGGCAGGGTGGTTTGTCCCTTGTCTCCCATGTATATGCTGTCGGGGAGGACCTCGGGCTCTATTTACTAGGCTGTCCGGGTGACGCCGCGTCCATGGCAATGTTGCCGACGGGCGTAATGCCTGAGGAAGGTCGCAGGATGGCGTCCGGCACCTTCGCCATGGACGTGGCGTCACCCGGACAACCAAGTAAATACCGACTCCGGCCGCGGAAGCCCACGCTCTCACCTCGCGCTCTGCTGACCCCAGTTCGGGGGAGCCCGTTTGTGCATATTTTCTGAAAAATATTCCATTAAGAAATGTAAGTAAAAATAATGTCTTTTACGTTTATCGTGAAGAAATTCATTTTATAAATATTATTTGTTGACGGTTAATGGTTTAATATACTTTTTGCCTGTTTTTGTACGTGCTGCATTATTGTGTAAATGCGTTTTTATGTTTTTAATGTACTACAACTACTACCGTAAATTATAAAATATTTTCAGAACATTTACAGAAACGATTCAACTACACACGAACATTCGTCCTACATAGTGAATTTAGGTAACAAAAGCTATTAAAAATGGTCAACCGAATGCCGAGCTGATGTTTTGGTTCCGTAAGTTAAGCATCGTATTATGGAACATCCTCAGAAAATACGGTTAATGTCGACTGTTTCTGATATACGATATAAAACTTTTTGTTTTCTTAATATATTTAACGGCAAAATCATCAAGTATAAGCGACCTGTACGTATAATCTCTGCACCTTTTCTAGAGCTCCAAAATTCCTATCTCATCTATTGTACTATACGTAGATGAATTATGAATAAATGTACCGTCTATCAGGAATGGCAATATTTAAAAACTAGAAGTTTCGCCCCCTTTTATTAGAAACCTACATCGGAAAACAAACAATAGATTTTATAGGATTGCTAACAAAATATTAGGCACTCTGCGGCATTCGTCCCGCAACAACTTAAATGTAACTTCACATTAACTTCTCCCCATAGCACGTCACACATATTTTTTAACTGTTTTTGACGTAAATAATAGGAATCTAAGCCTACGAAGCACGACGTTACAAAGATGGCCACCATCACTAAGGGTTAAAATGCAGGTGGCAATGATAGTAACGATAAGAGCCAAACCAGCAAAAATTTAACGTCCCTTTCAGACCTCTATCCCCAAACTTTTAGATTTTAAGGCCATAGAACGATTTGTTTAAGAGTTATTTAAAGAAATATCTTATTGAGTGATGCGGGTTGCATTAGACTTGAATATTTAGATGAGTTATTTTAAACAAATCCTTTCGTCACGTCTCCGTGACCTTTTTTGCAATTCGCCACGTCTCCGTGAAATTTTCTTCCTTTAGAGACCTCATTTATAAAGATCGGTTGCGTGTGAGAGCCGCTAAAGGTATGTATATTACTGAAATAATATAGGAGGCAATACAAAAAATAGACAAAAGTTCTTTTCTTCGATAAAACATCTTGAAAAAAAGTAATTGCTCTTGAAATTTATGTAACTTTACAAAACATTTAGGGGAAACTGTTGGAAATAGTCCCCGTGAATCAACTTGTGCGGCCTCGTGTTTTTTTTGTCAGTCAACCGCTTACAGCAACATGGGCGAGATTGTTGGACATTGAATCACATGAGCGGCTAACTCTACAATCAAGTTGTTGATTTGCCTATTAGGCGTTAAGGAGCAAACTACTGGTTTCAGTTAGTTTAGTTATTCCTTGCTTAGCTCTCTGTGTAAAGGAATATGGAATCTAATAAGGTTGGCTATTATCGAATGATTTAATTTTGCTGAGCATATTACCAATATTCCTTTAATGCCTCAAGGGTGAAATCGCACTGATAATTTTCCAGCCTTCTGAAATCAATCGTCCCCAGTCAGATTTAAATCCGCGAACATGTGTTTTGAAAGCCACATCGCTGACTCCCATACTCTCAGTATAAGTCTTCTCTGAGATTCTTACCTGGGCTCTTCTAAACTCGCTGGTTTGCTGCTCTCGTCTTTGTTTCCTCCGTACACACACAGCTAAAGCAACACCACTACGTCGACTAAAACTGCAAACGCGATGCTAGCTTTTAAGTAGGTTACAGTGAAACGGCTCTTCCAGAATACTGTATCACTTTATCTTGATCCTCCTTGTGGTTCTAGTTCTCCAGTGGCTTCCTGTCGGCACCACGACTTTGCCCTGGCCCACCATTCGACCCTGCTCGCCCCTCTGGCACTGACTGCGGCTTTCATCTTCACCCTTTGGTTGGGGAAGGTCATCACTAGGGGTGGATTTGGATAACCTAAAACATCGTCAAAAAATCATGATCAAAATAAAGCTCCTAAAATATTTTTAACATGCTCTAAAAACGAAAAATTGATGAAAACAAGTTCAGATAAATAACGCAAGGTTTGGGGTATGTTACTGATGTAGTCGAGGCTTCTTCCTTTCGTTTAAGTGAACTCAGCTTGCAAACGTTTTTGAAATTTGTTGCATCTTCAATTGACGCCACGCGTCTCCAAGCCACGGGTGGCGTTAAGCGCTTTGCATTTTCGGAGTATTCCTCCAATGATATGAGTGCGGGAAGAATTCTCCATTAATATTTTAGTATGTCATATCTGTCACGTCTCGTCTCAGTCAGTTGTCAAGAGGACCGCCAAGTAGCATCTCCTCGTTTGCGCCTTCTATTACGCGACCCTGCGTCACTACTCAGCGGACAGAATCGGGAAGGAATTAGGATTGGGGAAGGGTTTAGGACACTTCGCAGGGGTTTGACTACCCCTGTGAAGCAAGCAAACGCGTTTTGTCGCAAAAACTTTCACATGACTTTCTACAGGAATCAACTCGGAACCTCAGTGATGAAAGGCAAGCAACTTCTCCATTGAGCTGCGAAAGCATAGCTGGTTTAGACTGTTCTTTACCAGGAAATCACTGTCTTCAATTATCACGAAATCGGCCGAACCGACAATGACGCTGATAAGGAACTTTACACCCGCCGACATTACAATTTTGAGCAAAGAAATCGAATAGAAACAGGAATTCTGTGAAAAACATTTGTTAAATATTGTAAATATTATTTGAAACAAGTACCATTAAAATAATGTTAAAATTATTGATGAAACCAGTCAAAAATACTTGAAGGTAAAAACTGACTTATTAAACGAAATCGACCAAAAATGCAAAAGGTAAATGAATTACTCATTTTTATAACAAAAAATTAATGTCTATGCTAAAAGATATTGTTCTAAATTAAAAAGAAAAAAATGTATTTCATTAAAATCCGCCCCCTATACTTAGATTTATTTAGAGCAGCACTTTGATGTAAATCAGCTGTTACGTTGTCATCAAATCGGTTACTTAATGTCACTACAGTGACGACACTATGGTGACGTTCAACCTCCCGATTGAATGACACAGTAACAGCCTATTAACGTCAAGTGTTGCTCTAATCAAATCCAAGTACTTTCTGTACAGATAAAATGAAAACTGATATTTTTTATAGAAATTTTTACTTGTCTTACATTTTTTACATTAAATACATTATTTATGTATTTAATGCGTATTTTTCCGAAACGCGGGGCCCCTGGTGAATGGGGGCCCCCAAACAACTGCTTGTTTAGCTTGTAGGTAAATCCGGCCCTGGTCCTAACCTTATCCCTTACTTACACTCTCATGCACTGCACTACTTCACAAGTTGGGACTTATAGTTTGTCCCGACTGGTGTGAGATATCTTCCCTCTGCGCTTTCTCCACTTCCTGTTTCGCTCCCCACTCCACCCACCTACACTCCCCTTGTTCCTTCTTCTCCTCTACGCTCGTCTCTTGCACCACTCCCACTTCCTCCTGTCCCGTCAGTGCGTAGCGCGCTGACTTCGCAATCGGGAGGACCGTTTCGATTCCCGGGCCGGCCAACCTGACCGGGGTTTTCATGCTTTCCCTCGGTCGTAAGGCGAATGCTGGAATGGGTCAAAAAGGCCGCGATCACCTTTCACCAATATCCTATCACCTCCTAATCCATTAATAATAATAATAATAATAATAATAAT